AACTCAAGTATTTGTAAAATGTTGATTATGATTCTTGGTGTGGTGCTTACTAGTTGTCGGGACCAAGGTTAAGTTCGTTACTGAGCTTCGTGGGGGGTTTCGTTGTGACTACAGGGGGGCATTTTTGTTAATTTTTCTTGTGAGCAGGATAACTTTTGTATGTGTGGATGGAAGTTAATGAAATTTGATGGGCATGTTACTGTCGTGGTCTCCAAGATTGAGTTCAAAGATGAGAGTCGTGGAGGTCGTTATGTCCCCGTAATAGGACCTTTTGTGTTTAGAAATCCCCCACCTACATCTGCTTGGAGACAGCCGACAGCTGGATATAGCCGGGGAACCCCATAATGGGATGGGATCAAATGACGTTACATTGAGGGATTGTACTATAACTTCAGCAGGGGGAGGATAGGTTGGACATATGTCAGGTTATTTTCTACGGCCACACCAAGTAATTGCTATGGATGACGTCCACTGGAGACCTTAAATCTAATTACCTTAAATTTAAGGCAAACGCGCAATAAAAACACGAAGGGCCGAAAAAACGAGATGCCTAGATTTGGAATATACTAACTGTAGAAGTACAAATGTTAGGACACAAAGTACACAAGAAACAAGTACTTCTATTCGTCATAAAGACAAATTAACAAAACAGACAGTAGTCACCTGTTCTGATTCTTTCCTTTATTATTTTTTGCGGCGCTGTCGTGACACTTTCAACACAGTAAGAATTTCTTGAACGTTTTTTTTTCCAGTAACAGTCCAAACTCAAATAACGTGGGGGGGGGGGCTAACACGGGTGACGACGCATCTGTATAATCTGCGGCAAAACCGTTTTCAGGGTGTTCTGTACCATAACAATAGTACAGAGATTCTTTTGTTCTTTAGACCAAATTGATTATTTAAAAGAGTAAAGAATACGCATGTTAATTTCTCTAGAACGATGTACCTCTGACGAAGACATGAGATCTCCGACCTCTAGTTAATTTTGTAAATGCAAAACAATAGAAGTGATAATATGTATAGAATAATTAACATTTTGATGCTGTTATTTATTTATTCATATTAATCAAATACGAAATAAGATGTAATGAACAGTAGATAAACACAATTGAACTTATTTATTTGCCGCCCTAACCCCTTCTCTCCGTTTTCCTCTTTGCTATTTAGACCTTTCTGCTTCAGAACGGAAGTTCTACCTTTGTGCGGATCCACGACGATGGAGTCGCTTCTCTCCACTCCGCTGAAGTAGTGCCTGGTGCTCTCACACAGGGAGAAGAAGCCGCCGTAAGCCGCGTCCACGTGAAGCCACGTCCCGTGACGCTCCGCAACGCTCGTCAGGGCGTCCACAGGGTCCACTGACCCAACATCAGTACTGCCGATAGTGCCGATAATCATGAACGGGATCAAGTCGTTCTTGAAAGAAATAGGAAAAGAGGACGTCTTCTAAGTTAAAACTGAAGATCTAACCGAAGACATTCCCTCACCTAGAGCTTTCGATTAGTCACTCTGTCTTTGACGTCACACTTCAAAGAAGCCACAGACAAGCCTCAGTGGGTCTACTGAGGAAGGCCAGAGTGACTGGTAGAAAGCTTTAGGTGAGAAAACGTCTTTGTGTTAGATCTAAAGTTTTAACTTTAAACAGCCATCTAACTATCAACACAGATGACAAAAACAAAACATTTTTTTCCTACTGGACTATATGGGGGGCCCTATATTGCAAAAGCTTTGTATTGATGAAAAAGTACACATCTGTAGTCGAGTTAAGGGCACATAAATAACCCCACTCGATTGCATTTGTAGCGTATTTAGTAACTAGGATGTTAAGCTATACTCTATAATTTTCTATACTTGATTCAATAATTGCAAATGTAATCGGAACCTCTTATTATGGTAAGATGTATGACAACCTCTATCACCAAGTTTATAATACCAACAGTCTCTTGTTCATTTTTATTGTAAATTGTTATAAGATTAATCGTTACTTTGGTGTCCTCATTGATGAGTTCGTCCAGCCTGGACGGGTCCATTCTGTAACTGTTGTCCATGGGGACCTCCCTCCTAATGCAATGGTACATCCCGATGACGTTCAGTGCTTTAGCGTAGCAGTGGTGGGTGAGTTTAGTGACGTACACCACGGCCCTAAAAGATTATAAAATCATACTAATCTTAGAAAAATAATAACTCTTAAAGTACGTAATTAATTTTACTGATCAGTCCTTCGTGTAAACATTCAAAAGGTACGCAAAACGTAGCAAACATGCTCTGGATAGTCTTCGCGTATTAAAGAACGTAGATTTGCCCCAGGCACTGTTCTGGATACACGTTGTCTATCTCTAGAACCGTGCCTGTGCATGATTCTGGATAAATAACGGCTCTGTGTACTACATATCCTACCGATGGAAGTCCTTGGAGTGCAGTTTCCTGGCATCCCGTGCTGTTGCCATGGCGATAAGAGTAGCCGCTGTGCCACCGGAAGTCAGATTCCCCGCGTGGCCTTCTGGGTAGCCGAAGAGCGTCGCCATCCACTTCAGCAGCATGTTGCTCATGTGCACGCCGCCAGGGCTGGTCGACTCGATTGCTGGAAGTGACATTTAGATCATACTTTTATTTTTTATTATACGGATGATATTCTCTATACCTAATCAGCATCAGCATCCCAAAACTGATGCTTGCATGCGGATAGATGCCTTCCTTTTGAAATTTAAGTGGTCAGGAAGGTTGAACTAATGACTGTCAGCTGACTGGTTTGAAATGTCAGCTTTGACATTGACCATGGTATCAGAAATATGGTGGTGGTCTATTTTGAACCTTTTTAAATCGTAATGTTTGCACAAAAATATCCATATGTCGGTAATCCAAAACAAATCACACGGATATCCGAATTGAGGCTTGGCAGACACCCAAATCAGACCCGTCTCGTATAATGTATTATCAGATACTAGGCAGAAGGCGTCGTCCAACCAGAAAGCTCCATTTGGCATCGGTTATAAGGCCGTAAAAGTGGTCGGTTATGAAAAAAGCTGACCACTTTTTAGACCGCACCATTATACAGGGGACAGGGCACTAACAGTAGTGTTAAGACTTGTTGTATTTATCTATTCTATCAAAACGTATTGTAGTTTATGTTGAATAACTTTTTTTCGGAATACAACACAAGAAAATAGAAATAGATAAAATTAAAAAAAAAAAAGATTTAAAATAATTTTGACACCCCCACTAAAAGTGGTACTGTTTTGATGTCACGTGGTCACTTCGGATGATCTCGGCAATGGAGGAATTTTAAAAATGAATTTTGTCAAATAAAGGTGTGTAAGTTGGATAGGCTTAATGATAATAACGTTAATGCCCCGCCTTGTCCTCGGTGTATTTGGTGGTTATCACACCTGACCAGGGATTATCTTACCATATACACCTCGGGACGGGGCATGAACCCTCTTTAGCAAACATTTCAAGACAATAGCTACTGCATTTTTTGTGGCCAGAAAATCTAGCCACCAGCAAATTGACTGACTGCACCAGTAGACTCGCTATACTCTGTCAACATTAGCTACACATTGATCTGCATCGTCAATATTGTCTAACCTAATAATGGAGATCCTAATAAAACAAACAAGCAAACAAACCACGACAAAGGCCGATATACATATCTTACCGGAGTAAGGGTTGAAAGCCGCTGCCAGGAAGTCGCCCAGAGCAGAAGGGAACAGCCCTCCTGTACCGATGTACCCGACATGCCCGCCGTGTCCCGCTCGGAGTCCGGCGTCACCGATACTGCTGCTAAACTCACGCAGCAGGTGGTCTGAGTGGCAGTGGGTAAACATCGTTATCATTACGGTCCCGGTGTCAAGCCATATACATGATTCTGCCAAATACATGATTGTTGCGCTACTTGGGGGTTACCAATATACCTGAGACGAGGGGTGGGAGGGTTTTGGTCGTGGTCGTAACCCTAATCCTAAGTCTAACCCTAGCCCTGAACAATGATCGCAACCCTAAACCTAACCCTAACACTAATACCAACCGTAACCGTAGCCCTATAAACCCTAACTCTAACACCAACCCTAACCCTAGCCCTAGCCCTAACCCTAACCCTAACCCTAACCCTAGCCCTAGCCCTAGCCCTAACCCTAACCCTAACCCTAGCCCTAACCCTAACCCTAGCCCTAAACACCTGATCTCTCACGTATTTGGCAGCTCAAGGATTTGGCTCAACACCGGATTTATCATCCGGTTAGGCACCCTTCAGGTCAGACAGTACTATTAGATTAGGCCATAGCCTAGGAACACATGCTTAAATACACTATTAGAAGTCTTCATGAAAGTACTTGCCCATACTTCAATCTCATTTTTTTTTTCTGCACCAGGTAGCTACAAGGGTCTGCTTCCCAAATATTGAAAGAAAACTGGGGGTCGACCCGGTCAAATTCCCGCCACAGCTGATGATAGTAAAAAAACCTCAACTTTGACCTAATTTTGCATGGTATCCATCCGCTTGGTCAGGCAAGACCTAACCACTCACATCTCTCATTACACCCACTAAACTGGTGAAAAAAACAAAACTTGACCAAAGTAGCAAAGTTTAGACCCTACCTTTGCCTTCCAGCCCCAAAATCTCCAAAATGGACCAAAACTTTTAAGAGAAAAAGGATTTTCAAAGGTATTAACTAGGCACTACAATAGGCCTCTACTGCGCAACACAATTGTGTTTATATCTGCCCTTTATAAAGATACTCTAGTACGCCCTGCCCGTCATGGCGGGCACTAGAGCAGTCTCTGCAATACCAGCGTTTACGGCATCACTTTTGTGCCAAAAATCGTTCAAAAAAAGGTACCTTAATTTGACGTAAATACGTCTGCGATGCTGCATTCAAAAGGGGTGTTTTGAATACATAACAGCGGCATTACGTAGGGGCCTTTCTCTAACATTGACAAAAGTGTAGTATGTGGTCGTCCCACTCTACGTCTACCAGTGCAAAGCTTAGTCTACCAGCTGGTTCATTACTAGTATACTACTACCAACATGCCCTGCCAGGGCAAACCTACGTCGGAGTACCGAGTAAGGGCAGGGGTAAGGCCGTGTTTATGTGAAGTCACCCAAGGCGCTTTACATGTGGTTTACCCCGAACCCGGTTTCAAGTGGCTCCATCTGAACGCTCCAAATCACATTGAAAGCGCCTCGATCCCAAACCACTTCTAGAGGTGGTTTCGAATCGGTTTTCCCGCATCGCGATTTGCGTCTGAACGCAATGTGATTTCAATGTAACTTCGCCTGGTCATGGATTACGGGGTGATATTTCTTTATTTATATTCAATACCAACTTTTACGTGGCAGCAACTTAAAGAGCAGTAATGTTCAAATAATGTGTCCGTTCTAGGGCGAGCTTCACTGCCTCTGGCGGGACCACGTCGGCATTCGGCCGAGATACGCTGGGAGGGGGACACCAGCAAGCAGGTCGTTGACCTCTGACATTAATAACACGCTATCTTGCGTCTTTTCATCAAACAACAATAAATGAAGCTCATGCGAATTGTGATCAGACACGGTTTCAAAGGAATGTGTGGCACGTGGACCAGATGTGAGGAATGCGAGTTACCTCGCGGTTTGGGTGACTTCACATAAACAAGGCTTAAGTCGGTAAACAGATAGATTTAACGGGTGTTAATTAAATTCCAGGGTGTCACATTAATACTCGTAGTTTTGTATGCCAAGGTGCTGCTAGGTGTACAGACGTTATTTAACAATCAAAAATTAAAACTGTGTTCAACCCTTCTTTTAAATGTATATATACAATAATACATCATTATGTAGATTGTGCAAACACTCATTCGTTTCGGTCGCCTAAGTTGCTCTAGATCTCATCATGATTGTGTCCTTAACGTGTAGTTTTTACAATACATACAACCTAATTACATGATGATCATACAAAAGCCTTTAGGTTACTCGTTAGACGTACACCAGAATCTATATCTGCTTTAGTTGTCTAAAAAACACAAAATAAAGGAACCTATATCTGTGGGGTCTTCCTGTATGAATCCGTCCTGTGGTGTTAGAGCTTGCCCAGGCTCTGGTTGGAGATACGCCTTCTCTGCCGGAGTGGACAGCTTCTGCAGATACTCCTCGGTACAGCTGCTGCATTCTGCTGTCCACTGCTGTCGCTGGTCAGGCCCCGGGTCGAGCAAGGAAGCCTGGGCCGCCAGTGTAGTGATGGCAGACACCAGGTCTGCGGTGTTAGCCATTCTACCAGTCAACCGGACAGTTGAGGTCCGGTTCAGAGTTCAGACGTGACAGGGGAGATTGATTACTTTACTTACTATTGCCGGAAGTGCTCGGTTAACACGCCCCCCCCCCCCAAACACAAACTCTATAAATCAAGTCTTGTCTGAGACCATATTTAATAGTTACATACAGTATCCAACAGTCTATATGAAGCCGGTGGGTGTCGATTCACGGTTAAAAAAAGACACACGCATTGATCTTTAAACATATGCCGGTAGCTGGACTATTTGCTTAACCTCATTGAGCCAGCGTGCATTTACTGACGGGGTCAACTGTAGGTCATAACACTGATGTAAATATTTGGGGAGGGAGCAGAGAATGAATCTTTCATTGGGATTCTATGGTAAAACCACTAGAAAAAAGAACTTTAAAACACCTTTATTCCAAACCACAAGTTTTCACCCTCACTGCAAAGTCGGTTTTGTCGGGTGTCTTTTGGTACAAATAGTGGAAGTTCTACTCCTGCCTTTTAATGAGATACAGCCCAAATACTGAAATGATACCTGGATTTCACCCCGTCCAAGTGGGACAGTCCATTCAGCCAGGACCTGTCTCGGGGTCGATGGAAGGTCAAGTCTTGCCAAAGGTCAAACGTTTTGGGCAGATTTGAAAAAAAAAATTCTTCTGTCCTCCTTACTACAAAACTGGGCCTTTCTGAGCAAAATTTGCCCAGGAAAAAATTATTTAAAAATTCCAAAAATAAATTTATCTGCATGCGCTTACACTGGTCCCCCGCCCTTTGTTTCCGCGCTATCATTACACCCAATCTACAAAAAGTGTTTCTTACAAGGTAGTTCATGAAGGTCGCGAAAAACAAGATTGTGAACTAGAGTTCCACGATCTCATACCTTCGCTATATGTTAATCTTCGACTGACAAATTGAACTAGAGTTCCGCGATTTCATACCTTTGCCAAAATATGTTGATATTGGACTGACAAATTATAGATTATTCTCCCTGATTATACAAATAGACCCAGGCTAGCCGGCTCGCCACTCACATTCGCCAACCTCGGGGCTTGTGGGCGGACGTGTCTGTTTCCGCTCCCATGCCCGTAGCCAGAATTTTAAATGGGGGTGGGGTTCTTCCCAGTGCGTGAGGGGACCTCGAGCGCCGTAGGCGCTAGGCGAGCGCCGAAGGCGCGAGGTTCCTAGGGGGGTCCGGGGGCATGCTCCACCGGCAAATTTTGAAAATGAACCTTAAAGCCCTTTAAAATGGCATTTTGTGCATTTTTTAGAGGATTTCCAAGAAAAAAACCAGAGATAGATTTTTATTCAATGACAAAGGGAGCAGTTTTTCTACGATTCCAGTCCATCTTTTCATGAAAAATCTTGGACCTTTACATAAAAAGCGGACCAAAAAGTGGACCTTTACATAAAAAGTGGACCAAAAAGGGGACCTTTTAGCCTTGTGGGGGGGGGGGGGAGGTGTTCTTCCGAACCCCCCTCTGTCGGCTACGGGCATGGCTCCGCTTCTCTTCTCTTTTCTTTTCTTTAATTTCCTCTTCGAAGTTTTTCCTCTCCGAGATGACGAAACCGCAAAGCAGTCTCCGCCGCTCATCCGCTGCGTGTTTAGCATTGATTTCTCAGAAAGTGTGTTTTCAGTGACGATAATTGCAGATCAAAATACAACATTGACCATATAAAAAATATATACTGTAAGTATTTTTAATACAAGTCTGTGCGCGATTAAATTAGATAAGTACACTATGTCACAAGACATCCTGTCTTCTAGCTTGGTCAAGCATTTCTCTTTTTTGATGTACATAATAATAACGCAATTCAGGACAATGTTTTATCGATCCTACTTGCTACTCACAACTGAAAAGTGATCGCAGTACCAGGGTAAATCAGATTCACGAGGAACTGAGAGACTTAACATCAATAACTTGTGCACCTCCAAAAAATCCTGTCTTCCAAACAACCAGCCATACTCTACAATCAACTGTGCCCGGTGTCACATCAACACACTTACAGAACCAGATATGCTACGTATACTCGGAACACCTTCAAACTAGACACACCAAAAACAAACAGCACTTCAAAAGCCTTCACATACAGAACTACTGCAGCATGGAACTCTCTACCACATGGGTTACAAACAGTGTCATCACATGAGAAGTTCAAACAAGGTCTACTAAAGCACATGAGGGACATGAATATGTAAAGCACATACGATGTTACACATTTGTTTCTTTAAGATAACTATGTAATGTAAATGTATATGTAATTGTATGTTGATGTAGTGTTATGTTTCGTATACCCTCCCCTGGAAGAATAGCTGCCACCCTTAGGTGGGCAGCTAAAGAAAAGTTTTTTCCTCAATAAACCTCAAAAAACTTCATAGCGTGGCTGTTGTCAGATCTTGTAGGTTTCACTGACGTTACCCTCGGATGTCACCGCAACTCATGGTTCCTTCGTTACTGCATAAGAGAAGAACGTGTGAACTTAACATGAGTATTGGCAACTACCGGCAATGATAAAAGTGCAGAAAAAGTGCAATATTTAAAAAAATGCAGAAAAAGTGCAATGTTAAAAGTGCAGAAACGTGCAATGTCAAAAGTGCAGAAAAAGTGGAAATCAGCACAAATTATTGGCATAACTGCAGACATGAAGCAAATGTTCAGCATAGCGGGAAATGGATGAACTAAATTTTATAGATGCCAATTAGATAGAGGGTTTTTTGTGTCACCTTAAAGTTTGTAAAACATATCATGTGTATGCCTGTTACTTATTATGGGTTCACCACACCACGAAGTGGTGTGGTGAAACCATATTGCTTTTTCTGATGTTTCTTCTCCTCCTTCTCCTTCTCCTCCTGCCATTTTTTAAATGGATTCAGCTTCTTCATTTTAGGGCCTAAGGTCCTGAAATTTGGTATGGAGGTACAGTGGGCAAATACCCCTAGGCGTTTTTTAAATGTTTGTGATACAGGCTTTTAGAATGGTTTTATTTGAGTTTTTTGGCTGTATTATAGCTAATGTATTACTGTGTTAGTGTGCCATGTTTACCACGTCTGGGCATGAGTCATCACAATGGAATGCAGGGCATCAACCAATAGGCATGCAGCTTTCCTCTATACTTCTTGCTGATTGGCTGTTGGAATTTAACTTGATTAACACCTGCACAGAGCATTTCCACCTGCACAGAGCATTTCTTGCTGATTGGCTGTTGGGATTTAACTTGATTAACACCTGCACAGAGTATTTCCATACTGACAGTATGTCTTTATTCAAGTGTTTTGGTAGGTATTTCAAGCTTTTCTGCTCCAGCATTGGAATGCGGGGCATGAACGTTTTTTTTTTATTTTGAAAATCAACAGTTTGCATTATGCAATTAAAAATCCTAACCAATAAAGTAGGGAATAGCTATCCAACTGTTGTTTTAGTTGTATGTTACTTCATATTATAGTTATATCAATGTAAATCATTGTTTTCCCTTGTGTTTCTCATTCTTTCCCTGCCATGTGGTAAAATGTGGTGAACCCATCGCTGTATTTGCTCCAAAGCAAATATTGGCCTTTCTAGTTAGATTTTACATTCTACCACTTCTTCATGTTGTCCAGGTATTTTCCAATAGGGGCAAGTGAATAAAAACTGGATTCCTCAAGTCCAATTAACTTAAAGGTACTTGTCTGAATTTTTAAGGGTAACATACAGAGAAAAGAGATTAAGTTATTTCTACTCCTCCGTTAGAATGCATGTGTGTTGTGTGGATTTTTACAACAAGCTAGAACTCGATGGAACCTACCGATATCGGGGAATTTGTTCTTCAAACCATCCACGACGCTCTGCAGCCCTGCCTCTGACAGAGCCTCCATCAGGACCTCTATGGTAGCGGCGTCTCCCCTCTTCTTCTTCCATTCCTGCAGCATGTCCATACAGCGGGACTTGTCGTCGCGGTTTCTGCCAGCAATGTTTACAATGGTAGACCATTTGGCCCGAAGGTGGAAGGCCACATCCACCCAGTCTGTGCTTACTTCCTCCTTGGTGAAATGGAAGTACTTCTCAATACCTGAAAGAGATGGCGGAACACTGTCATGGAGGTTTGACACACGTCTTGTCAATTCATCATTCATTCATTATCAATTTCAGACTCAACATTTTTTCAAGGATTTCAGTATATCATATCGGGTTACTACATGTAAGGCATTTGACATTGCTAAAATTAACGAATAAATATTTTGTTTTAACGTTTTCTAAGACCACAAATCTACTGCAAGTAACAATTAATGACTTCTGTTAAAATCTTACCTTCCAAATCGCCTTCAGCTTCCCTTGGCCTCTGTAAATAGAACAAATATATATATAATAAATATATATGTATTTGGGATTCTCGTACAAAGGACATCACACATACAGTGAGTAAAGAACGCTTTTCTTTATGTGTGCGTTGACAAAGGTGTAAAGGTGTGATACTTGTAACTAATCAAGCAAATGTATATTATATATGGCAGTAGTTACAACAAAGTATTGTCATTTTCTTCACATTTCTTTCAATTCATAACGTATCAGGTTATTTACTGATCTTTTTATGGCAAAAACTAACAACACAAGAAATTTATAAACATGTTGTTTTACCTCTCTCTGAGTCTCAAATGGCACATGGATAGGGAGCTGACACAGTAATGTTGGGTCCTGAAGCTTTTTGCCGGGTGAATGCGCGAGTTTTTCGTGCCTCTTTCGTAGGAAAGCTGCCCTTCTTTTTTGCTTTCCGACTTCGACGCGTGGTAGTGCAAAGAACGCAGCGCTTCCTTTACCATCTAGACCGTGTTGGCCCTTCGCCTCCAAAGCCATGACCTGCATGTGGAGTCGGTTGCTTTTCTGACTGTGGAAGGTGATTTGCTGTTTCGTGCTGCTTCCTACGCCAAATGCTGGGATCGACACGTTTCCCATCAAGCTTACTTCAACTATTTGTCCTTCGAAAAGGTTTACTGTGTCCGTAGGTACCGGGCCCTTGTAACCCCCTTGAAGTAGTGCTGCGCGTTTCTTTTCTGCATCTTCGATTTGAGCGCATTCTACCACAAACTGGTTTGCGTCGTCCTCTCGCTGCATCAGTATGAACTGTACGGCACGGTGTTGGAGCCATCGGCACAGGGTTAGAGGGATCGGTCCTAACTCCACTGGGTCATCGTAGATGTCTGTGACGACGATTACAATCCATCTGGAAATGAAATATGCAACTTTTTTTTAATTTTTTAATATTTGTATGTTTTGATTTATTTTTTATACTTTTTAAATCATTTTTAGCATTTTTATTTATTTATTTTTTATACTTTTTAAATTATTTTTAGCATTTTTATTTCTTTTATTTTTTTATTTTTATTCTACTTTTTAAATTAATTTGTATTCAATTTTTATAATATAATATAAAATTATAGAAATATAGAAATATGCAGTTATCTTTTTTTACTTTAGTAACAAATTCATGCTGAACGATATTTGAGTTTAAAGTAAACTTCTAGCTATTTTGAATAGTATAACTGAAATGTCTCTCTCACAATTGTATCCAATCACTGCTTCCAAGTATATGATGCCCTCCTTATTATAATTAGTTGCTAATGTAAACCAAACGATAATAAAATTACCTGGTAAAGTGGATGACTTCAAACTCCACAGATTCCTCTGTAGCCCGTATATCAGTGTTATCTGTTTCATCTACCCAGTCTTCTGTCCCCTCCTCACATGACATCACCCTCAGTTTGGTGGGTCCCTCATGTTGGACGCCCATGTAGTGTTGAGGATGTGGGACTCGCACTGTGACCGGTTTGTGGAACTGGACATGTACTGCGGAGGCCGACACAGTTTCCACTTTGACTATCGGGCTGGTGCCTAGAAGCCCACGGGAAGACTGGTCTTTTGCGTTCATGTCTTCAACTGCTCGTTTAGGAACTTCCTGCACCTACAGTTGAAATGAACCACTGTGTTATATCAATCATAATGTCAACAGGCGGATATCACTGTAATTACTCTTTTAATGAGTTTAGCAGCAGAAAACGGCAGCGTGAGAATGTTTCCATAATCATGATATCCATAATTTTTTAAAATAATTTCCAACATGCAAACACAAGACGTGGTGACGGCACACTGAAGTTTTTCAAACTTATATTAATGCCGCCACCAACATGGGGACAATACAATACTCATTTTCACCTGAGCGAAGTGAAGAAAGTCGTGTAAAGTGCATTTCCCAAGGGTACAAGATCGGTGGCATGTCAGGACTCGAACCCGGGACCTTTAGGTTCCGAGTCGAGCATTCTGCCGCTACGCCACATGACCCCAATATCCATAATTCATCAGGACTTTCACAGTGAGAACTAAAATCAACTGGGTTGTTTTTATTGGCCACAATTATTTAAGTATGAGTGATTGTCACTGAGTGGTTGGGTGGGTGAGTGAGTGGGTGAGTGAGTGAGTGGTGTAATGGAACATGGCCTACCAAGGCAACTGCAAATACTCACAATAAGAGACCCCGTCGACAAAATTTGTACTTGGTTAAAATGGATGCAATTCTAACCTGTACTGTGACTTGCGTTGGTGTGTTCACAGCCTGTTCCGGGAAGCTGATTTGTACCGCAGGCTGCGTTGATGACGTCATAGTGAGCCCTTCTGTTGGCACATGAAATTGGTCCTGTTTAGGTTGACTGATGACGGCAAACATGGAGAAGTGGTCCACTGATACGGCAATCGTATCTTTGCTCTGAAAAAAATCAAAATTGATATCATGTGCATGTATAGTTATTGTAGAGGACGACATTGCAGGTGTCAGCAATACCTTTCCAATGGCACATTAGACGTATTGGACATTCATATAGGACGTAATAACAAATTTTGCACTGCTAAAGAATGTTATGATTTCCACGTACCAGTTTAGTGGTTTTTAGTTCGGTCCATTGGGACCTGTCCTCAGAAACCCACACGGCAGCTTCCATAGCGTCACCTAACGACGCGTTGTTGTACTGCCTCTGCACAGTGACAGGTTGGTGGAAGGTTGTCCCGTGCGGACCCAGCTCTATGATGTCACTCACTAACATCTCTCCGTCCTTCAGGGGGAGGGTGACGTCATTGGGGTCGATGACCTGACAGGTGATTTCTGTTTCCATGGTAACGGCGCCACGTGATATAGTGACGGTGCAAAATGGAGTTTGCAGTTTGCCTCCTTCAGGACCCACGTTGAGCTTGTGCATGTAAGGGCTGTGAGAGAACATGGAATTTCACCAAACATGCATACTTTGATACATGTATTACTTAGCATGGACGGAATGTGTATGCTAAACTATCAATGTTCAATGCTCATAAAGTTTATAAGAGTAACTTCACTCGGTGTCATGGATAATACTGCCCCTGCAACATGAAAAAGGGCGTCAGTTGTACTGTACTCTTGACGCAAAGTATGAATATTATACAGATTTTGAGCCTTGTTTTGTGGTGACCGATGAAGTAAATAAAAAAAAGACAGACGGTTGCCAACAATAAGCATGCCATGTCTATATTATACCTTTTCTACGTAACTCCCTATTTCTTGTTTTTTCAGTCTAATAAATACTGTATGAACAATGATTACATAATCCTATCGTGCCTTATTCAAGATTTCTTTTACATAAAAATGAGTGTTTCATACATGTTGTTTTTTATTTGATAACATATAATTAGTAGCACATAACTTGTAAACCAGATCTTTACATACCAGCCGGCCTTTTCTGCTGCAACAAGTTCGAGGATCTTCTTTCTTCCCTCCAGGACGCAATCTTTATCAGTCTGGTACCAGTTTGGAACGTCTGTACTTGCCGCTATGTCCGCAGGAGTCTTGCCGCTCTACACAGAAGACATCATCATCATCGTTAATCATCCTCCGAGGAGGTGTAGACATCAGCCATTAATACACAAGTGTTTTTAAACAAGGTTTAGATAACTGTATACGTAATACATGGTTGATTACCGACAAGTAGAGAATTATTTTACACCCGAAGCGTAAGATAAAGGCCATAAAAATTAATATAGAAAGAGGTGGAACATAATAGTACATCCATCTATGTCATACGTTGGCCGCGATGCGTTCGATGCGATACCTTCCAGCCCGTGTGATAACTAGCTTTATGTCTTACCCGGGCCGCGATAACGTTCGATAACGGGTTCCGGACCGGGCCGTACGGTACGGCCCGGTCCGGAACCCGTTATCGAACGCTTCCCTGGCTTCCATAAAACGATTCGAACGCGTTTCGCCCTAACCGCGTGTGCCCCTTTCGAAAATTCGAATACAGAATCCGCACGTTGGAATTGATGTTGTTGCAGTTTAGGGTTCAGTTTAGGGTTCAGTTTAGGGTTCAGTGGCACCAACTTTTGGCTCATCTCGCATTGAAAGGCGCGTTTTCTTGGGTGGGTATGATATGAATAAAATACAACACGGTGTATTCCGCATCGCCCTCGGTCCCAGCCCGACCGCGCATCGGATCTCCCTCCGTCCTTCGGCCGTCGGGCGATCCGACGCGCGGTCGGGCTGGTACCGAGGGCGATAGGGAATACCCCGTGTTGTATTCTATATTTATGTCTTACTTGGGCCAGGATTACGTTCGATACGGGTATTCCGGTCCGTGTGATAACTAGCGGTACGGCCTGGGCCTTCCAAATGATCCATAGAACGATTCGAACGCGTTTCGCCCTTACCGCGTACACCGCTTTCGAAAATTTGAATACAAAATTCGGACATTGGAATTGATGTTGTTGCATTTTGGGGGTTTAGGGACACCAAGTTTTCGCTCATTTCGCATTGACAGGCGTGCTTTCTTGAGTGGGTATGAATATAGAATACAACACGGTGTATTCCGTATCGCCCGAGGTACCAGCCCGACCGTGCGTCGGATCGCCCGACGGCCGAAGGCCGGAGGGAGATCCGATCCGCGGGAGGGCTGGGACCGAGGGTGGTGCGGAATACACCGTGTTGTATTTTATTTATGTCATACCCACCCAAGAAAACGCGTCTTTCAATGCGAAATGAGCGAAAATTTGGTGTCCCTAAACCCAAAAAATGCGACAACATTAATTCCAACGTCCGAATTTTGTATTCGAATTTCCAAATCGGTGCACGCGGTTAGGCCGAAACGCGTTCGAATCGTTCCACGGAACATTTGGAGGCCCCGGGCCGTACGCGTAAAGAACCCCCGGGCCGTACCGCTAGTTATCACACGGGCCGGAACACCCGTATCGAACGTAATCGCGGCCCAGGTAGGACATAAAATAAAATACAACACGGTGTATTCCGCATCGCCCTCGGTCACAGCCCTCCCGCGGGTCGGATATCCCTTCGGCCTTCGGGTGATAAGACCCGCGGTCGGGCTGGTACCTCGGGCGAAACGGAATACACAGTGTTGTATTCTATATTTATATACTTAGGGTTAATATGATGAAAATTTTTGTTGTTACATATCACATGGCATTGCACAGCGGATCATAGCAACATGTCGGTAGAATTTGACACCATGTCTCACCTCACCAAAAAAAAAATTAAACTGCCGCCATGATAATCTCTAAATCCTAGGGTCATAAGTAAAATGTTTGTTTACAATAGAACTGACACATTCGATGCTACATGGCGCAAACAATGTTATTTTTATATCCCTTCTGTACAAGTCCTCAAAAAACATTATCCAATCTGTTCTCAAATCTCATGTAATGTTCCGCAACAAATTCTTTCACAATATCTGGACCAGACTGTACTTGTAGACATATATTTTAATTGCTGTCATTGTGTTTATTTTTTATCTGTATGTTTTATACATGCGAGTTATGCCTGAAATAAAGAATGAAGAAAAATAAACCACTCAAACATGTCCATCACTTGTAGTAAGTATCAACCCTTACCTGATTCCTACTGTCAACCTGTGCTCCACGCTTCAGGAGGAGTTCTGCAACACCAACATGTCCCCGTGAAGCTGCACAGTGAAGCGGCGTGTAAAATTTCTGTAACAGAAGGAAAAGAGATGACGTTACATACTTTTAGTTAAAGAAGTTAACCGCATCGGGGGGCAAAATAGTCTACCAGATACCGTTGGCTCAGTTTTGACGCCACACATCAAAGACCAGAGGAAGACCAGAGTAATTAGTTAAAAGCTCTGGAGAAATTTTGTGTTGGATCAAAAGTTTTAACTTTAAACATATAACTACCAACACAGATAAACTTTCGTGATAGTTAAAGAAGCCTATCACCCTTATTTTGATTAACACTACATATGACGTAAACTCTTACTTCACCCCTACTGTCCACCTGTGCTCCAGCCTTCAGGAGGAGTTCAACAACACCAACATGTCCTTTTGAAGCTGCATTGTGAAGTGGCGTGTCTCCAAACTATAACAGAAGGAACAGAGCTGGCATTACATGGGAAGAAAACACGACCCCATTATCCTAATAATATGCGAGACGCGTTCAATACTCAAACATGTCCATCAACCATCGTAAGAATGAACCATTACCAGACGCTTACTGTCCACCTGTGCTCCAGTCTTTAGGAGGAGTTCAGCAACACCAACATGTCCTCCTGTAGCTGCCTGGTGAAGTGGCGTGTCACCATTCAGCTGGAAAAGAGATCAATCATTCAATCAATGAATCAAAACTGGTTTATTGTTTACAAAAGGCATTGCAGCCATCGGCTGAATTAAGCCTCCTGTACATTTCACATCTAAGAAGCGTTTACAATATATTGTTTAAAAGAAATAAAATATAATACAATTCTAACTAGATTTGCCTAATGCCTTATGCTTAGCCAGTTTCGAATAATCTTAGCTCATTGAGTAGTTTTAGGAGTCACAACAGTGACAGGTTAGCTCATCACAGTTTCTGAGGGACCGTGCGGGTGTTAGTTTCCTTGTAGCGGGTATAAAGTCAACACTTCTTTCAGATGCTGCCATGCTGTTTGCGAATTTCACACACAGTTGTTTGTTCGTACTTCCAACGGTCATCATGTGGGTCGTTAATCATACATAGAAATATAATGGGGTCCAATTTTGTACCTTGTGGTTCGCCGGTAGTGAGTGTTTGCCAATCTGACAACGAATATCAATATCTAACATGCTGTCGCCATTTTGAGAGGAAGGCAACTATCCAGGGTAGGATGCAAGGTCGGGTTCTCATGTTTAGGAGTTTTTTGACAGTTTGTTCATTGTTAATGGTCTCAAACGCTTTCGTGAAGTCTGTTAATACTATGCTACCCACGTTTTTGCTTCTCTCTACACCTTGGAATAATCTAACATGTCCATGCAGCAAGATTTGGGGTTTCTGTCGAAAATGATCATGATGTCTGCCCAGTTGAATCCAAGATTGAAGGCCAGATCCACCCAGCCTGTGTCCACGTTTATATTGGTAAAATGGAAATATTTCTCAAATATTCTCAGAAAGACATCGCTCCCCGCCCTTAACCTGGCCAGTGATAAAACAGGATTGTGGTTAAAAAAAGTTATAGTTTCTCCCTACTCACCCAAGGGGTACAGTTGACATCCACAAACTGTAGGAGCAGTCGCTTCACCTTGTCTTCATCTCCTTCAGCAGCTGCATACCAGAGTCCCTGGAGAAAGTGGCATTTATCATCATAACACAAAAGAAAACAATACAATTTGGGGTCGTGTGGCGTAGCGGCAGAGTGCGCGACTCGGAACTTAGAGTCCCGGGTTCGAGTCCTGACATGCCACCGATCTCGTGCCCTTGGGAAAGGCACTTTACACGGCTTACCTCACTTAGCTCAGGTGTAAACTAGTATTGTCCTGTCATGCATTTGTCCCCTGTGTTGGTGGCGGCATTAATATAAGTTGAAAAAACTTGAGTGTGTCGTCACCACGTCTGGTGATTACATGTTGGAATGTATGATGATGTTGGAATAAAAAAAATTAAAAAAACAATACAGAGGTAGAAAAAAGGAATACCATAACTCGCCCTTCTACAAGTATCTAGTTTAGTAGGTAAGGATATCGATTTACTGGAAATATCTATAAAAGTCATCCTCTAAAGGTAATGATGTAAAGAAACACCTGAAGTTTGCTTGATATCAACGTACGTAATATGATTGTGCAAGCGTTCACCAACCACAAAGGTGAGGAAACAACGGGATTTCACATCGTTTAAATTTTTGACTATGGGAAGTCATTGTCCAACACCTTTATTCATTATCAATCCAGGTATTCAGACGTCTTCGTCAATTTTTGTTCAGCGCTATAGTTACATGTAGACCTACAAATGTATTACAAATTTACCAGGCATGACATGTTTACCAGGCAAACATTGAATCAAGAATTAGTAACGAGCGTTCAAATTCCACAAATGCTGGGCCACGTACACACGAAACGCTGTTATGACACCATTGGTTGCTGATATGTTCATATTCAAGAGAAAAACCAATCAAAATGTCCATATAATTATCACATTCCATGTGCAGTACCTGTTATACTACAATTTCTACCAATAAATTAAAGCGTCTTTATGTTAGTTCGCCACAGCTAACTACCAAAAAATTAAAGGATAAACCACTGTACTGGAATTCTACAACACAACACACCACAAAATACACAACAAAGCACAAGGTAAGTATTTAGTTTACCTTTTCACGTCTCTGATAGGACATCTTGCTTGACTTGCACCTTTCTCACGAAAGTTTCGCGTCTTGAGTCTCGGCAGAAGTACGGCAAATTTTACCGGTCTTTGGTCGGGTCTGTAACGGTGGTGTAAAACTTCCGCCTACCTGTCCGCCATTTTGATCGGTCGGACGATGACCTTAACATGACGTAATCTGGACTGTTCCACTCACCATGTTACTAATTGTTTATTTTCGTGTTGTGAGGGCTAGCCCTTTATAATAGCCTCCGGCTAGTTGGGCAGTCCTGCCTGTACACATTTATTTATACAGTCTAATAAATCAAATCAAATCAAACCATTACTTTGTCATACTATTTGTCAGGGTGAGGGAAAATACTGACATTTTTTCGGTCGATTTGTAAATAGACGCCTTGCCAGCCATAAAAGCAATTACAAAAATTGGTAGATATTGGTAGTCTTTGTCCTGCAATTCTTTCCGTAATGTCATCCATGCATTTTTCAGAAACCTTTGAAAAGGATTGATTGTAGAATATTATCTTCTGATATGGGTTTTGAAGAGATTATTTTGCTCTCAAATCGCATGTACTCCATTAACATTATACAGCATGAAGGTACCATTATATCACTTCTTTCTTACAATTTCCATGGCCATACACGTCCAATCAACACACGAGATACGCTATATCTCAATTACATCATTACGTCACAGTTTGTTTCCGCAATGAATGCCGGGACAGTATGTGGTCAGTCAATGTTTATATTGTACAGGTGTGTGTGTGTTTGTGTAGCGTTACATAAACTACTTTCGTCTACTGTCACAACTAAATCACCCATTACAAAATGTAATGATATGTCACCAAAACTAGACCCAGCAAAAAATCAAACACACTGACTTTGAAAACTTGAAATGATCTTTATTCTTTAACTGGCCGTTCTAGAATGCTCTTTGTTTTTACAGGTAAACAAACTGTGACGTAATAATGTAAAAGGTCCATTAACTGACGATCCTTGAACCTCGCCAGAGGGGGGGGGGGGCAGCCACTCTGAAATTTATCTTTGGACCAGTCAAACGTGTTCTCATTCTTTCCTTTGTCTGAAAGAAAGATAACAGGTAATTAACCGTTTATTGAAAAGAATTTTATCGTATGTCTGAGTTTGCCTAAAAATCAAAAACGTGTTTCGTACGAATCAAGGTACGCGAATTCAGGGCTTACATTACTGTCGCCATGTGCACGCTCTATGCCTTGCCCCGCCATCTACTTCTGACGGCCATTCCAGTTCAACTTACGTCCGTTACAGTTCCAAACAAGCTGCCAGGAGTCCCAAAGTCACACCATATAATTTGCTCACATTCTTAATAGCTATCTACTGTTTATGCATTGTAATGATATTTGGTACATTGGTAGGTCTTAGGAAGACAAAGGTCAAGATCAAATAAGGGCCTCCTGGTGGCTGACTTTGGTACTGCAGCAGAACTTCCGGTTTTTGTATTGTTCTGACCATGCTATGGTCTGGGATTTTGGGTGAGAGATAACCTTTTCCTGTCAGGAATAAGTGCTGTAAGTTTCGTCCCCCTAGCGGCTTGGTCTGGAACTGCAGGGGAGTTTCTGGCAAAACTTTAAAAGCGGATAAGTCAGGAAAGGAATAACGTAGTTTCATCATTTTTGGTGTGTAGGTAGCTTATAGATGGCTTATAGATAGATGTACTTGATTAAATGCAAATTATGCAAATGAGAGATAAATTTGCATAATTATGTAGCAAATTCTGTAATTACAGTGTTTTACATTATAGTACTTTTATACATGTGATGTATGTAATCTATGGCAGGTAAAACATCAACAGCTACCAATTATTATTGTGAAAATTTTGCGATTTGTTAATGGTGAATGATTGGAATTTTATACCTTGTGACATTTGTAAGTTAACACAATATGCATATATTATGTTAATGTATACGTTTTTTTTTGTTGCTCTTTGTGCGACAGTTAGAGGTTAGGATAATGCATCAGACGCATGGACAGGTAATATCTTTTTAATTGCAAAAAAAGCAAATAAGTGTACACTGCCTCCCTTATCCACATTATACATTATAACTCAATATCCATATTTTATAGTCATAATAATTATATATTATTAAATACATTATATTTGTTATTGACTTCTGTGTTAACTAATATAGGTTTATGACTTCATTAAGATGCAAGAAGATCCTAGGGTGGCAAAGGATAGTATCAAATTGGCCAGGCTGTATTCATTGACCATAGAGGGTCCATACGCCATACAAGGGTATTGGACCCTCTCTGGCCAAGAGATACTGCCTGGCCAACTCAATATCAATACCCAAAGGGGGGGGGGGTCCTTATAGAATCCCCACAAATGAATTAATGGATAAGGGTATAAATGAATGAGACAAAATTCGAGCAGCAGAATCTGAATCAAGATCTACAAATATATACAGCTTCCAGATTTTGTAAACAAACAAATTTATCTGCAATCACAACAGCAAGGGGGCAGGTCCACTGGTAGTACTGTGTGTTTAACTCCCATACTCTTTCCCAAATGCTGAGTGCCAAGCAGAAAAAGCAGCATGTACGAGCGTACCATGTTTTCGGTACGACTCGGTCGGGGATCGGACTTGCGGCAAGACGAGCACTCTACTCACTTGGTCATTGCACCAGTAGAGACTCTGATTCTTTACACACACACACACACACACATACACACACACACACACACACACACACACACACACCTTTTCCTACACTACCAAAAATGCCAATCTTGTTTTTCTTCAGAGAAGAAAAATTTTCTTCAACTGAGAAAATTATTCTTCACCCAAGAAAAAAATCTTGTCCATGAGACAAGAATTTCAAGAAACTGCATTTTAGCATATTTTTCTTGTGGTAAGTATTTCTTTTCTTATGTATCTTGAACTAAATATCCTTAGACTATTATTCTTGCAGTAAGAATTTCTAAGTTTTCTAGAAAACCATTCTGTACACAAGAAAAGATTTCTTGAACTAAGATCTAACTCTTCTTGTAGCAAGAAAAATATTCTCCCCACAAGAAAAGATTTCTTGAACTAAGAGCTAACTGTTCTTGTAGCAAGAAAACCATTCTGCCCACAAGAAGAGATTTCTTGAAAGATCTAACTCTTCTTATTGCAAGAAAATCATTCTGTACACAAGAAAAGATTTCTTGAACTATTATCTAACTCTTCTTGTGGCAAGAAAACCATTCTCCTTGCAAGGAAAGATTTCTTCAACTAAGATCTAACTGTTCTTGTAGTAAGAAAACCATTCTCCCCACAAGAAAAGACTTCTTGAACTAACATCTAACTGTTCTTGTGGCAAGAAAACCATTCTGTACAAAAGAAAATATTTCTTAAACTAAGAGCTAACTGTGCTTGTAGCAAGAAAACCATTCTGCCCACAAGAAGAGATTTCTTGAACGAAGAGCTAACTGTTCTTGTAGCAAGAAAACCATTCTGTACACAAGAAAAGAAATACAATGTACATTGTATATAGTGCTACCTAAATAGAAAACGGACAATAATGTATAGCAACTAAATGTTATTTTGAAATGCATTTGGACAGTATAGAGATTTTATTTTCACATTGATTTTTGTACAATGTATCTAATTAAGACTATCAGTCCATCAACATTCTTGGAATGGAAACAGTTTAACAGTAGCTTTCAAAATATTATAGGATGTAACTAACAAGCCATTATGATTTCAGAATACAGATCGTATCACATTCTGATCAGAAACATATTCAGCAAAAACTGAAGTTTTCTCATTATAGAATTGGCAAAGTCACACCCTTTGGACACATGAAAACAACAGGAAAGACCTGTGTTAGTTTGCATGCGTGTACTGAAGGCAACAAGTCAAAAGAGGATGCTAAAATACTATTTTTATTACTTGGAGTAAACAATTTAAAATTATATTAGAAAGCACTGTAATAAACTTTACTATACAATACACCAGAGATATATGATTTGACTTTGAAATCAACCCCAATAGCGTTGTAACAATATCTGGGCTATGAAGTCTAAATACAATGTCAACAGATCTTATAGGTGGGGAGGGGGGCGCACTTACCTTCAATCTGTTTGGTTTCATGCTTTTTCTGTTGCAAAGTTGGTTTCTTCAGCAAGCTGACCACGATCACCATTGCTTCACATGTACACAAGGTCCTTTTTAATTTGATTTTGACTTCAAATCTGACATGAGTCAGTAACTGACAAAAATAAGTAACCAGCGCGGCTCCTACATCTGACTTACATTCAAAACCCCCTAACTGCATTGGGATTTGAATCAACCAATCAGGGGTTCAGAAAAGGTCACATGACAAGAAAAAACTAGAAAAAAGTTCTTACATCATCTTGAACATTACCAGGCAAAATAAGAATCATCTTTCTTAAACTTTCTGGTATTGCTAAGAAAAACAAGAATGGCCTTTCTTAAACTTTCTAGGGAAGAAAATCAAGAATGTTTAAGAATATAATACTAGCCATATCTTCAGCCTAATCAAAGATCAATTTTATATTAGACTTTCTTGTTTTTTTTCTTATCAGTATTTGTCAAGAAAGATAAGAAGTTAATTCCTGTATTTTCTTAAATGTTGCCAAGAAAAACAAGAATGATCTTTCTTAAGCTTTCTAGTCAAGAAAAACAAGAAACTTTAAGAAAAAAACACTAAGCAGAGCTTTATTCTAATAATAGATTTAGATAATTAAATTTCTTGCTTTTCCAATCAGTGTTTCCTAAGAAAGACAAGAACCAAATTCTTGTATTTTCTTAAACATTGCTAAGAAAAACAAGAATGGCCTTTTTCAATCATTCTCGGTAACATGAACTAAAATTTTTTTGACATACACAAGAAAAAAAATCTTAAATCTGACCACTTTGATGTCAGGTAAGAAAGAAATCTTCCATGGAGATTAAATAAGAAAATTTAACTAAGTCTGAGGGAATTTTAAGATTAAAAGAATTTTAATCTTGTAACTTAGAATCTTCCCTAGAAATATTGTCTTTACTAAAGAAATTTCAAGATTACAAGAATTCTAATCTGGTAAGTTAGAATCTCCTCAAGAAATATTTCTTCACCAAAGAAAATCAAGATTTAAAGAAGCCTATTTTAGAAACATTATCTCCACTCAAGAAAAATGAGAAAATTGTTCTTGGTGCAAGAACGTAGGTATACAGAAAATTTATTTTTTTCTTTTTTTTTTCTTATTATTCCCCCCCAAAGAAAAATTTTCTTCCCATGAGAAAATAAGAAAAACAAGAAAAAGCATTTTTGGTAGTGTACGTACCTGCCATACTGATTATAAGAAAACAATGACGAAATAGAAGTCATATGCATGAACTTTATTCTGATTTTCTGTCAATTCTACTCGTGTGACTATGATGTCATCGCGAGCACAGCGCAGAGGCATGGACAACTGCCGGGTGCAGAGTTAGGTCATCTGCAGTGGCGTGGCCGTCAGCTGAAAACATGGGAGCAACAAAAACGTCAGGAAAACAGTGCGCGGCAATGCAAAAGTTAGTCAACGATTGCTCTCTCTTTCAATCGAATGCAGAGTATATGTGAGAGTGTACATATGTGTTGATGCCACACATCTCTTTCATGTGATACATGCATGAACATGTAACAAGTTGACATGGCTCGGCGGTCAATTAACTCTCTTCTACTGAGCGGACGAAAATTCTATCTTATTAACTACATAACATTAACAGAGACGGCAATTTGCTCATACATTCATGTAAACTATCCGGATGCACCTTTCACATTTCCTCTGGGCGGCAGCATTTGTACCCTGCGCCCTGGTGACAGACGACCGAGTAATAGTCGTCGACAAACTCGTTTGCCTGGCATTCGGCGCGACAATGCCCTTCGATCCCGAGGCCCCCACAGGAGTGGCTGTTATGGTCTGGTGCAGCAGTCAAGGTACAGCTTATAAAATCAACATGTCATCTTACGCGTCATGAAATGAGCGAAACCACTCGCCATCGATACATATGGTACTGATATTGATATTGAAAAAGAAGAAAGAAGTGAAATGATATCTTACTAGGTGACTTTGCCTTACTAAACTTGACGAGGTTGCGTTGAAATCTAAGGGTTTCTTTTTACAACAACAACAAGAAACTGGTCGTTCTTTCCCGGCATATGTATGCCTATTCTATGCATAATACTGTGCATAGATTACAACATTAGAAGCAAAGATGTTCATTTTATTTATAACGGTGTACAATGCTAATGATGTAACCCAATGAGGAATACTCCAAGAATCTATGATCGCTGTACCACGAATGCCATTTTATGTACAATGCATCGAAGTTAGGTCTCTTAAGATGTGATTTCTTGTATTGAAAGAAAACTAACGAGGCGAAAAGGATACTGGAGATGGTGACTCCCGCAGCCGCCACGGCAGCAGCTCCATAAGCGGCCACCAGGAATTGCCACACGGCAGGAGCCACCGCGGCGCCGAAGTAGACAGCCGGTATGGCCAACTGACGGGCCTCCGTCCCCTTCTTCGGTGGGGCCCTCTTCACGACGGCGCCCAGGGTGGTGTAAGGGACCAGGAGCACCAGGAGCAACAGGCAGTAAGCCGTCTTCTTCTCCATTGTTTTTCCTGGCATATGTGTATTGAGGTTATTGCATATTTTTGTTGTCACAGATTTAACAAGGTAAATTTAATTTGTAGTCATCGCAATATGGCGGACATCATGTCGAAGTAGAATACTGCATCATCAAGAGAATGATAAAAACAAATGTTTATGTTGGAAATGCATGAAACCCGAGATCCCTTCTGTTACCATAGGTAGGTTCATTATAAAACACATTTTAGTAAAGACGGTCATATATTCGTCTTGTTCTTTGTTTTGTGGAATCCTTTGATTGCCGACAGTATTAATTACCTGTGAGATAGGGACTTATTGGTACTAATCTAGGATGAATCAAGTAAGAACTTAAGAGAAAGAAAGCTAGAAGTCGAGATAAATGATCCCTCACCGTTCTCTTTAGCTCTGTCTCGCGAACGATTCTTGTCTGGTATCTGTACGTTTCTGAAATCCAAAACTATAAGTACGGTGTTTATAAACATTATCTTAAAATGTATGCGAGAACAGAACCACCTGTAGATAAGAGATAATAGTAACAGTAAACGCACGTCATTGTTTTCCAGGAAACAGGTCGCGAAAACATGTCGTCCTTGTCAGATATCATATCTATGGCGTCTATTTGCTACAGCCCTATGTTGGGTCACAAGAGGTTCCTGAACTTCGGTGACACCAAGTAATGCAGATATTTCACATTGAACCAAATTACACCACTTAAATGTGTTACGGGAATATTATATGCGGTCATTCGCCATTCACTAGCCTAGATTAATACATCGAGGTCTGATTTAGTCAATTTTATACTCGGGTTTATTATAGTCGCGTCGGTGGCGCAACGTAAAATGGCGTCGGTTGCGCAACGGTTAGAGCGTTGGACTCGGAACCGAGAGGTCCCGGGTTCGATACTCACCGTGGCCCGACGTTGTGTCCCTGGGAAAGGCACTTTACACGACTTCCCCACCTATACGGTGGAGTGACGCCCACCGAGCCTCTTAGGCTAATCTGTCTGTAAAGGTGCCAAAAACACCTTACGGATTTGGTGCGCCGATGTGACAACATCTCATATTGGCCACTGAGAGCCGTAATTTTTTTTTTTATAGTCAGGGGTAGACTAAGGCCCGTTACTGATTTCCTCTGTATCTCTTTATAATGGTTATTACAAAGAAAGCAGAAGGCCCCTCATCCGTATAACGCATTTAGGGCCGCGTGAGTTTTATTTGCGTCCCGCAGGTGCAAAGTACAAGCGCAGGAACAAAGTTTGCGTCGGTAAAGAGAATCTAGTAAAGAACGATATACACTTTCAACAAACACATCGTTGTTACTACGTTCTTGCCTGTGGTCGTAATGCTAAAACCGTATAACATTGACGTTGGTCAGCATACCATGCTGATATCACACTTTTGCTAAGAAAACATGCAAAACATGCACCCATATTCGCCAAATTAGGTCATCATCTAACAGCAGGTATTCTAACAAAAAATTACCAAACCTAATCCAGTTAATGAGTTAAGGTTGAGGGGGTGGGTGTGTTAAGGGCAGACAGTACAATTACCTTTGGCCATAGGAACCTATGGTTAAACGCACTGAAACAAGTTCCCATGAAAATTCTTTTTCACATTTCAGTCTTTCAAAATTTGTCCACACCAGAGAGCCACAAGGGTCTGTTTTCGAAATATAAAAAGAAAATAGGGGATTGGCTAGCTAAAACTCTTACAACAGCTGACAAGGCTAGTCCACTTAGGTTTAGACGGCGGAATATCTGCTGAGATGTCAGAGCAATGTTTATGTAATACGAGGTTTTCCCGTATAACGTCCTTGATTAGTCTCCACCAGGCATCATCCTATACGGGGGGGGAATTGTCGTAAAAGTAGGTAAGAAAACGGGGGAATAAATTATAATAGTTAGCAGGAGTCGGGAAGGTTAATTTCCCCCTCCGACGCAAATCAAAACGGTGGTCAAATGTTCTCCCCTGGCCCTGGCCAATTACTCTCCATATTTGGCTAAATTTTATTGCCGTTGAACCCGCCTTGGTGGTTTGGTAGAGGCTATAACCTGCACGGACACTGTATTAAAGAGCACTAGGTTATAACAGTGACCGCTGAAGTTCCACAGCCGAGTACAATATTTACCTCCATGAAAAATGGAGGTATTGTTTTTGGCGTGTCTGTCTTTGCGTCTGTGGGTGTTTCTGTGTGAGTTTCCGCAATGATGTAGTCAGCATAACTTCATAACGCCTTTATGGATTGTGATGATATTTGGTATGCTGGTAATTCTTAGAAAGACAAAGATCAAGGTCAAATATGAGCCTCCTGGTGGGTGACCTTCATACTACAGCAGAACTTCCGGTTTTGTATCTTTTGTCCTGAACATGTTATGGTCTTGACGTTTAAGAGACAGATAGCTTTTCCTGTGAGGAATAAGTGATGTGGATTTGGTCCCCCTAGCAGCTTGTTTTGGAACTACAGGGGACTTTCTGGCGAAATCTTTAAAAGCCAATAAGTCCAAATAGGAACAACGTATTTTCATCATATTTTATGTGTAGGTAGCTGAGAGAGAGTTGTACATAATAAAATGCGAAATATGCAAATGAGGACCTAATTTGCATAAGTAAGGAGGACATTCTATAATTACAGTGTTTTATATAATAGTTCTTACAATCACTACAGCAAGGGGGCAGGTCCAGTGGTAGTACTGTGTGTTTAACTCCCATACTCTTTCCCAAATGCTGAGTGCCAAGCAGAAAAAGCAGCATCTACGAGCGTACCGTGTTTAAAGTCTTCGGTACGACTCGGTCGGAGATCGGACTTGCGGCAAGGCGAGCACTCTACTCACTTGGTCATTACACCAGTAGAGACTCTGATTATAAACACACATACACACCTTTTCCTACCTGCCATACTGGTTAGAAGAAAACAATGACGAAATAGAAGTCATATGCATGAACTTTATTCTGATTTTCTGTCAATTCTACTATTCAGTGTGACTATGATGTCATCGCGAGCACAGCGCAGAGGCGTGGACAACTGCCGGGTGCAGAGTTAGGTCATCTGCAGTGGCGTGGCCGTCAGCTGAAAACATGGGAGCAACAAAAACGTCAGGAAAACAGTGCGCGGCAATGCAAAAGTTAGTCAATGATTGCTCTCTCTTTCAATCGAATGCACAGTATATGTGAGAGTGTACATATGTGTTGATGTCACATATTTATTTCATGTCATACATGCATGAACATGTAACAAGTTGAATTGTTTCATCGGTCAATTAACTCTCTTCTACTGAGCGGACGAAAATCCTATCTTATTAACTACATAACATTAACAGAGACGGCACTTTGCTCATACATTCATGTAAAATATCCGGATGCACCTTTCACATTTCCTCTGGGCGGCAGCATTTGTACCCTGCTTCCTGGTGACAGACGACCGAGTAATAGTCGTCGACAAACTCGTTTGCCTGGCATTCGGCGCGACAATGCCCTTCGATCCCGAGGCCCCCACAGGAGTGGCTGTTATGGTCTGGTGCAGCAGTCAAGGTACAGCTTATAAAATCAACATGTCATCTTACGCGTCATGAAATGAGCGAAACCACTCGCCATCGATACATATGGTACTGATATTGATATTGAAAAAGAAGAAAGAAGTGAAATGATATCTTACTAGGTGACTTTGCCTTACTAAACTTGACGAGGTTGCGTTGAAATCTAAGGGTTTCTTTTTACAACAACAACAAGAAACTGGTCGTTCTTTCCCGTCATATGTATGCCTATTCTATGCATAATACTGTGCATAGATTACAACATTAGAAGCAAAGATGTTCATTTTATTTATAACGGTGTACAATGCTAATGATGTAACCCAATGAGGAATACCCCAAGAATCTATGATCGCTGTACCACGAATGCCATTTTATGTACAATGCATCGAAGTTAGGTCTCTTAAGATGTGATTTCTTGTATCTAAAGAAAACTAACGAGGCGAAAAGGATACTGGAGATGGTGACTCCCGCAGCCGCCACGGCAGCAGCTCCATAAGCGGCCACCAGGAATTGCCACACGGCAGGAGCCACCGCGGCGCCGAAGTAGACAGCCGGTATGGCCAACTGACGGGCCTCCGTCCCCTTCTTCGGTGGGGCCCTCTTCACGACGGCGCCAAGGGCGGTGTAAGGGACCAGGAGCACCAGGAACAACAGGCAGTAAGCCGTCTTTTTCTCCATTGTTTTTCCTGGCATATGTGTATCGAGGTTATTGCATACATATGTTGTCACAGATTTAACAAGGTAAATTTAATTTGTAGTCATCGCAATATGGCGGACATCATGTCGAAGTAGAATACTGCATCATCAAGAGAATTATAAAAACAAATGTTTATGTTGGAAATACATGAAACCCGATATCCCTTCTGTTACCATAGGTAGGTTCATTATAAAACACATTTTAGTAAAGACGGTCATATATTCGTCTTGTTCTTTGTTTTGTGGAATCCTTTGATTGCCGACAGTATTAATTACCTGTGAGATAGGGACTTATTGGTACTAATCTAGGATGAATCAAGTAAGAACTTAAGAGAAAGAAAGCTAGAAGTCGAGATAAATGATCCCTCACCGTTCTCTTTAGCTCTGTCTCGCGAACGATTCTTGTCTGGTATCTGTACGTTTCTGAAATCCAAAACTATAAGTACGGTGTTTATAAACATTATCTTAAAATGTATGCGAGAACAGAACCACCTGTAGATAAGAGATAATAGTAACAGTAAACGCACGTCATTGTTTTCCAGGAAACAGGTCGCGAAAACATGTCGTCCTTGTCAGATATCATATCTATGGCGTCTATTTGCTACAGCCCTATGTTGGGTCACAAGAGGTTCCTGAACTTCGGTGACACCAAGTAATGCAGATCTTTCACATTGAACCAAATTACACCACTTAAAGGTGTTACGGGAATATTATATGCGGTCATTCGCCATTCACTAGCCTAGATTAATACATCGAGGTCTGATTTCGTCAATTTTATACTCGGTTTTATTAAAGTCAGTGATAGATTAAGGCCCGTTACTGATTTCCTCTGTATCTCTTTATAATGGTTATTACAAAGAAAGCAGAAGGCCCCTCATCCGTATAACGCATTTAGGGCCGCGTGAGTTTTATTTGCGTCCCGCAGGTGCAAAGTACAAGCGCAGGAACAAAGTTTGCGTCGGAAAAGAGAATGTAGTAAAGAACGATATACACTTTCAACAAACACATCGTTGTTACTATGTTACTGTGGTCGTAATGCTAAAACCCTGCAAACGTTTTAAATGCGTAGCTACTTTAAACGTTAATGGGGTTTCGTTTTATTAAAACTTTGCGTTTGGGGGTTATGGTACGTTTGTGTGAATAAAGGTAATATATAAATTCATTTAACCGATTGATTTGATAGTCTCGAAAGATAACTTTCTTCGA